GAGAACAGTTTCTGTTGTTTAAGCCACCCAGTCTGTGGTGTTACGGAAGCCCTAGCAAACTCCTACAGCCCTACAGCGCAACAGTAGAGGAACATTAAGCACCTCCAGGCACACCCCAAGAGAAGTCTGCTATGACATCTGTGCGAGCTGGCATCCCTTAGGTGACAATCTAATCCTGAAAAGGGAGGAAAAGCTCAGGAACAACTATAGAAGGAAAGATGCTCGTTTATTCCAAAGCCTGGCTAGGGCTTCCATGGACTGGTGGATGACAGTATGTAAGCCTTGTTCTTCGGCTCCCTTCCATTATTGGTGGAGGGAAGTTTGAAATTGATGACACCTGCTCCTTCAGAGGCTGGTCAGTTTGGTATTTGCACACCTGCTACAGGCTCTCAGGTTCCTTACAGTGACCATTTTGTTTGAGGCATCTGAAGGAGAAGTTTCGTCCTTCATCCTCTATAGCATAAATGGAGGGCTTTTCCAGTTGGTCCTGCTGCTGCTTTGTCTTTGGGAGCTGGAGAGGGCATTGTTCCCCTAAATGTTTCCAGAAATGGAATGGAAATTTTAGTTTAGTTTCATGAACTACATCGCTTGGTGGAAGGGTAAAGAGGAGAACTAATGTTTTTTTGAACTCTAGGCACTATTTTGAAGTTTTCTGTACATTACCATGTCCTCTCGATCCCTCTGGGGCTAGCAGGGGTTTGAATGAGTGGAACAACAAGTAGGTTCAGGCTTATTTGGTTTGGCTTTTCCTTTTGTAAGTAGCTTTCCGATATATATGTTCATTTCTAAGTCAAAATAGTTTTAAATTTCAAACAAATAACTTCAGTTCTGTGATTCAGTAAAAATAGTCTTTTTTAAAAGAGGTTTTATTTATTTATTTGACAGAGAGAGAGAGAGCACAAGCAGGGGAAGCAGCAGGCAGAGGGAGATGCAGGCTTCCTGCTGAGCAGGGAGCCCGACATGGGGCTCCATCCCAGGACCCTGGGATCATGCATGACCTGAGCCGAAGGCAGCACTTAACCAGCTGAGTCACCGAGGTGCCCCTCAGTAAAAATAGTCTTAATTCAAGGCACAGCAAGTTAACTTACTATAGTTTTTGGTTTTTTATTTAATTTTATTCAAATTATTGGATTTTATAAATAAAATCATAAACTTTAAACTGTCCTAACACTGTAAACTATATTTAAAATTCTTCATCCTCTTCTAAATTTAGGATTTTATAATATGAAAATCATATTTTCTTCAATTCTGAGAAATTTTATTCTACTTTCTCATTATTATTATCTCCTCTACTTCTTCTCTTGCCTTGTATAACTTCTATTAGATGGATATTGGACCTTGAGGATCTTGCTTCCATGGCTTTCAACCATTCTCACAAACTTTCCATCTCCTTGTTTTTGGCTCTGTGTTTGGGGAGAATTTCTGTTCCCACTAATCTGCCTTTCAGCTTGGTCAGTTCTGCTTGTCAGCTAATAAATTTTCAATTTCAGAAACCACTTTTTAAATTTCCTTGTTTTCTTATTGCTTACTTGTCATGGATGCAATATCCTTTTCAAATCTTGTTGAATAGAATTTAAATTCATTTTAAATCTATCCGTTTCCTTTTATTAACTTAGTTTCCTCTGGTATGACTTCTTTCTGTTAGCTGAGTTTTGCGCTTCCCTTTCATGGTATTAGTTCCGCTACCCTGACAAAATCTTTGGTGATTTGGGTTGTTTGATGATCTTTCATTTGAGATTCATTTGCCTGCCCATTCTGTTTACCACAGTCTCGCTAGGGGTTGTGAAGGAAGGGCACACACGCTATCAGGAGAGAGAGAAGGTTCCCTGTCATTTCCTCCGGTTCCAGGATGTCTGCTCCCTTCCTTATCCCACAGGTAAACATCTGATACTCAAAGCCAGCAGAGAGTCGAGGCTCCTCAATGAATAATTCTGTCCTAGGGCCCCTCCTTCACTTGTATCCTTTGACTCTTGCTTGGAACTTCCCTAAGCTAGTCCTTCTCCTGACCTGTTTTGACTTTCTCTTATTATATTTCTCTCTAGATTAGATCCTGTCTCTCTTTTCTGTATTTCAGAATTTCCTAAAAATGCTTAGAGAGTTGATCAGCCTTTGTCTTATTTCCCCGTGCTGTTAAATTCTTATTGTAAGACGTATCCTTTTCTGAGATTTGGGATGGAAGAAAAGGTAAATGCATGGGCTGGACCCATCTCGATCTAATCTCTATTATTGTCCTTATTATCTCCACTGATGATCCAATAATACAAGCTCAATGTGAAAAATTCAGAGAATACAGAGATAGAAAGTGAAAGGTCCCTGTGTGTCAGATTCTTCTGTTGCCCCAATTTACATCTTCTTGTCCTCACCTATTGATATTAGCTGGAGCTGGGTAGGCCATTCCGTGAGTGCTTCCTCTCGCTTTCTGATTTACTGACTGACAGGATCTAGTCTCAAATGCACCCCTTCCCTTCTGGCCCCAGCACAGCAGACTACCTACTGGGAGCTTGCTGGGTAGCTTGGAAATGTGAAGTGTCAACATGGATGGGGGTAAAGGAGGTGCTGTCCCTGGACCAAAGAGAATGAGGGCCAATCTCCCACCCTTTAGACAATTCAGGAGGCATTACATACTCTTCTCAGAAAATTCCTGCAGAATTAATCCCTGTTGCCCACAACAATGACCTTGATTGTGAACCCATATATTCAGCTTTTCCTTCTTACCTCTCCCTAATTTCTCATTCCCACTCTCTGGGATTTGCTATTTTTTCCCCCTCCTTCTTTGACAATGCCCTTTCCCTGTGTACTTCTAAACTTCCCCTCTCCCTCAGTTCTGATTTATCATTTCACTGTAACTCTATTAGCTGTAAAGCATTTGGGGATGCTGTCAGGATAACAGGCTCTGTAGCAAATGAGGTTGTATTGAATTATTTAGCTTTCAGCTAAAGTGGAGATAACTAAAGCAGCTGAGCTGGTTTGTAAAATCCTAGGGTAATCTGTCCGCTGATTTTGTACTTTTGTCATATTAATTTTTCTTTTCATGGTTGAAAATTATAAATTCTAAGGCTACAAAGAAATATGTGTTCAACTTTTCAGTTCGGTGCCACAGACCTATAGCTAAGGAATTATCTGTTTCATGTAGTATACATTTATGTAGCTGCAGAGCTGCAATCCTCAGGAATCATGAATTTATTTAGTAAGTTTATTCACACAAGGCTTTTAAAAAACAAATAATTTCTCACCATTTTTTCCTTTCAAAAACAGAGCAAGGATTTCTGCTTGAGATATATACTCAGCTTTTGAAGCTGGCCTGTTTTTCTTGTTTCCCTTGCCAGAATTTGGTTCATTTTAAATGGTTTTTTAAATGGGAATGATCTTTCTGTATCTAACTTAGTAATAAACAAATGGATTCTTAAATGTTATCAGAAGAGCGGGCATCATTGCTAATCTAATGGATGACCACGAATATTCTGCTATCATCTTATATTACTAGTGTCTCTTGAGAAATTGAGGTTAATAAGGACCCAGACATCTGGGGTGGGGTGGGGTGGAGAGTTCTGTGGCTTTGTAATATCTGTGGAGTTTGCCCCACTTAGCACATCTCAGTGTCTAAATGCCCACTCTCAAGAAGTGTGGCTGCAGCAGGAAGTGAAATATCTTTGCATCTGTTCAATATATAAATGAAGCAAGCACATCTGGCAATTAAACACCCTTTTCCTGGTGAATTCTGGAAAACAGCATAATTATACGAAGCAAATAACTCAGGAGTAAGACTGTTCCGTTGTTAAGAATACCAGGCGGTATCAAAGTTGCAACTCTTTTCTACATCTTTGTGCTTTTAATCTCCACCGTCATCCATAATACCTGAGATCACCTGGGCTGATTCCTGGGTGAGACACCGTCCCGGAAACGACCAATGGAGAAAGGAGATGAAGGCAACAGTGAAGCGTACCACTAAGTGTCATTGAACAATAACCTGTATCTTAAGTCAAGAAAATGGACAGCCTTGCAAGCTGCCCATTTTCTTCTATGAATCTCTCTCGGGTGACTCAGAGATGCCTTGTCTTTCCTCTTTGGCACCATAGGTTCTAGTGTTTTCTCTGGCCTACTGCACGCCACCCCATCCAGGCTTGCAGTGAGGAAGCCCCTGCTCGCCTGGAAAGCGGGGCCGGACAGGAGGTGCAGGCGGGCTGGTGTGGCAGTTTGCCTGTTGATTACAATCCTTGCAATATGCGAGCGCCCTGGGACTGTGGGCTGCGCCGGGTCGGCAGTGCCGGGTCTCCCCGACCACACCAGGTTTGCAGACAGAAACAGAGACGCTGAGCCCGTGGGCTGGGGGCGGGGGCCTCCCAGCGTCTGTTCACACTGCCTGCCAAGTGAAGTCCGCCCCGGAGCGTGCTTTCTAACACACCAGCCCCGGGGAACAATCCTCCTTCCCAAACCCGCCGCAGCGGGGGCGCAGGGCCGAGGGCGCCCGCCTCGCCCACCCTATGGTCTAAGCGTGTGCTTTAATATATTTTAAAAACCGGAGAGTACACAGTGGGGACGCGGGGCGGGAAAGGCTGGAGGGCTCATTTTCGTAGCCAGGCTCGGTGCTCAGGGCGCACGAATTAGGCCCGAGCTGCGGAGTGAAACCCTTTTCCCGCCGCAGGGAGCTTGCGGTAGCGCGCGGTTAAGGGAGGTGAACGACGATGGGGGCGCTGCGGGCGGCTCGAGCTTCTGGCGTCCCGGGCCCAGGCGGCCAGCCAGGAGGCGGAGGCCCGCCTCGGGAGCCGGGGCGGAGGCCTGGCAGGTGCCCCCCAACGCGGAGGCTGATTGGCAGGTGCGGGAGTGGGTGGGGAAGGCGAGGGCTGGGCCTGGCGCTGCGGGAGGCTGCGGCCCCGCCTCCCCGCCCCCGCCGCGGGACTATCTGGTCCCGGCAGCAGCGATGTCCCCCGGCAGGAATGTCCCTCCTCAGATAATGTTATTTATATCTCTGGGCGGGTCCGCGGCTCGGCAGCACCAGGCGCCCGGCGGCCGCTGTGCTAGGAGCCCCGTGCTGCCCTCTTCCCCCTGCGCCGCCGCCCCTGGGCTCGGGGGGGCCGCCGCTACAGCCCCAGCGCAGGTGAGTCCCGGGAGGGCCCAGCGGCCGGCGGGGGCTGGGTGCGGGTGCCGATGCGCGAGGCTGGGGCGCGCGGCGCGAGCGCAGAGGAGGCGCTGGGCCCAGGGGGCTCGTGACGCGCGTAGCCCAGGGGGCCGGGTGGGGGTTCGGCCCTGGGTGCGGGGCGTGGGGCCCGGGAGGCCCTGGCGGCTGCGGCAGCGAACATCCTGGGGCGCGGGAATCCGCGTGGGCTTCGGAGACACTTGGCGAGTCGGGCGCTTTGCTTTGGAGAGCCGGATCCTGGAGCGTCGCCCCGGGGTTCTGGGAGGGCGGGGGCGGCGGGGGGCGGTGCGTGTTCAAGTCCCGGGCCACCTCCTCCAGGACCCCGGCTTGGGGGCAAAGGGGATTCTGCCTCCTGCCTGTCGGACCTGCCCTCTCTGCCTCGTGCCGCCGGGCTTCTCAGCCCGGAGCCGCTCAGATTTTCTTCTGGGGAACTTGTCCGCGCGCTCCCCGGGCAGCCCAGGCAGGGAGGACAGGACCGGTCAGCGAAGGGGGCCTGATCCCCGGACGCTGGGAGCGACGCGGAGAGAGTGGCCGGGTGCAGACCCGAGGAGGAAAGATCAGAATGCCCGAGGCATACTCCAAGGATCTCCTGCCCTCCCCTCCCAAAGAGTGCTCCAAGCTGCTACGGCCCACTCTACTCTCACCTGCCTCACCAGTTCCTCTTTCTCCAACAACCTGGCTCTGAGAAATAGCAGAAAGTGGGAGAAACAGCAGGAGCTTTAAAACCATCCCCAACTCCCACCAACTCATCCAGACTTCCCGAGGGTGGCCAAGTCGCTGTGAGCTTGAGTACAGTTTCCGTGACAACGAGCCCCAGGTAGGGCCTTGATTTATAACCTATTAATATCCAAACCACTGTTTTCAGTGAGCAATTAGAGGCGCCAGGAGTTGATAATAACGCTCTAAACTGGCTGAAGGGAAATGAAAATCCACTTTTTAGAAAAAATTTGATGCATCAGATTGGGGGTGGGGGGAGATAGTGACAGTATTTTTTTTTTTTTAAGATTTTATTTATTTATTTGACAGAGAGAGACAGCCAGAGAGAGAACACAAGCAGGGTAAGTGGGAGAGAGAGAAGCAGGCTTCCGGCCGAGCAGGTAGCCCAATGCGGGCGGGGCTCGATCCCAGGACCCTGGGATCATGACCTGAGCCGAAGGCAGACACTTAATGACTGAGCCACCCAGGCGCCCCAGTGACAGTATTTTTGTACCTGTAACTTCTGTGAAGACCTTAGGCCTTCGCCTCCAAGTAGGAGGTAGCAATGCAAAATGCAGAGCCTTGAGGTAGCCCTGGTCTATACTGCAGTTTCTAGGGAAAATGATTCAGGTGGTTCCTGAATGAGAGGAGTCTGCAAATCAAAATTTTTAGGCATCTCTCTACTGCCCACTAACCTATCCTTAGCTTCACAGATGGCTCTGAATTTTATTCTAGAATTCCCTCTTTGACCACCCTATGACCCAGGGCAGGTTATTTCTTATTCCAGGGTCAGACTTTGACTCTTCTGCTAGGAGCCCTGGCTTCCAGAAAGTCTTTGAAAACTGTTTTTTTGTAAGTGCAAAATGTTTAAGTGTACTGAATGCCCAACACCCCATACAGCTAGGTTTGTACTTGTCTGGAGGCTTTGGGCTAGTTAGGAAAAGGAATGTTGGGCTCACACTGAAAAAGAGCCTACAGCCTTGAAACCAAATGACTCCTCAGAGGTGGGTCACTTATACAGAACTTTAGCAAACTCTGGAGTAAAGCACAGCTGAAAACGATAAACCCTACATTATGAAAACATAGCTTTTAGACCCCTTCGCTGTTGCTCTTAGCTTTATCAGTGGCCCAGTCACAAAGACCGGGGATGAGCCAGAGCTGTTAATCCTAAATTCTCGGAAGACTCAGAGTCCGATCGTGGAATTGAAAGCACCCAAAAACTCCAAGGCATCCAGGACGTGTCTTGTAGTGCAGGCATATCGAGTTTTCCTGAGTGGCTTATCCAGCTGAGAGCGGGGATACCACCTTTTGCTCTGCTTGTTGCTGCTTCCAAGCGTTCTGAAGGTGTCCTCTGGCCGAACACCTGCTAGGTGACTAGCTTTGGGGTGTGTAAAGGTAAGGCGGTAGGTGCACTCCCATGTGGGATCATATCTGATAAACTACAAATGACGATTTTAGTCATGAAAGTTTTGAACTAAAGTCAAAATTGGATGGTTCTGCCACAATTCTGGAAACAGACTATTTGGGTAAATAAAAGTAATAATAGCTTTCACTTTTTTCCCATCTTTTATGTACTGGTGCTTGACTGGTTGTGGACACTCAATCTTTGTTGAATGAATGAGAGAACAAACAAATGAATGCTCAGAGGTGCTTTTTTGTTGTTGTTGTTGTTTTTAATCCTATTGTCACAGTAACTCTGCAATGTAGTTCCTATAACCAGCATTTTACAAGTCAGGAAACAGGCTCAAGGAAATTAAATAATTTGCTTCACATCATACAGCTGATGGGAGGTGGGGGGCCTGGATTCAAACTCAGCTGTTAGGTTCCTACCTGCTTTTTAAGGTTAGACATTTGGCAGGGAATAGAAGAGTACAAGTTGCAAAGATTTGGTTGTAGGGTGGTCTATTAGCTTCACAGTCTTTCACTCCCAAGACCTTGGGTTATAATTCTGCATATATCAGAGAAGCTTTAAAAAATATTGCCTGAAGATGGTATTGAGCACTTCTTTGCTCAGAGGTGTTTAGCCTGGCCCATTATGTTCAGGTCATTGTTTCAAGGACAGAACTATAATTTTGGCAATAGTCAAAGCATGGATTTTTTTTTTTTAAACAGATTTTCCTTTCAGTCGTGGAAGTGGCCAGGAGGGCTTGATGATGCATGGGGACAGTGTGATAGGACAGAGGATGACTATAAAAAATTCATGAGGCAAACGCTATTGGAGTGGGAAGGGACCTTAGAGGTCACTGAGTCCAGCTTCTGTTTGTGTGGCTGCTTGCCTAAAGGGGAGACCTAAGTGCAGTTTACCTGGTCATCTCTGTGCAGACATGGTACGTGCCTTCCATGTTTCTTATCATTCTTGCTCGTTTCATTCCTTTCTCTCTCTCAAGACCAATATTGGGTTTATCTCCTGAAGTTCTGCCTAACCAAACCACTGAAGTTTTCTTTCCTTTGAGGGAGATTTGCAAGAGGATGTAGTTTAATCTTAGTACAATCTTAAAAAAAACCAGGTTTTGGAGACAGGTGAGAAGACATCAGTGAGCATTAAACTCTAAACTGTTCCATAACTTTCCCATTGCTTGTTAGACATAGAGATGTATGCATTTTTATATAATAGGTTTGCATATTACTGTCTTGACTTAAGATAAATAATTATGTAGCATTTCTGGGGCAGTGGGGAAAGAAAGGACTTTGGGGAATCATTGGGACTGTCAGATACCTGTTTTAATCTAAACCCACTCACCAAATTGCTCTTAAAGTATGTTATTTCAGATTTTAAAAGCAAAGGCAAAATTATACTCTCTGTGTAAGACTTGAAAGTGTAGGAAACATGACCAGCAGGAGGTTTAAAGTGACATAAAGTACATTTCTTCATTATCCGTAATGCTTTTTTTTTTTTTATAACCTCAGACCTGCAGATTGATGTTTACCAGTTGACCTGGGAGGATCAGAAATGCAAATGTGTGGGCTGAAGAGAAATTTGATTTTATGATGAGGACTGGCAGGGACTGTTCATGGATACTGGGTTCTGAAACCATACGGATATTACTAGTCAGAAATTGCTGTACAAAGAAGTATTTTATCTTAGAAGTAGTTTGTATTGTTGTTTTTATAGATAGCTCTTTGGTTACTCCTCTACTTCAGATAAGAGATCTGGGAGGAGGGATAAATGCCGTGATCCGTGTGCCCGAATCACCATGTAGCATTTGCCGGGTTTTCACAAAGAAGCTGCTTGTTTCTGCCAACCCCAAGAGGTGAAGGTCACCTGGTTTTGGAGATGGAGATGGTGATCGAGGGAAGGCATAGGAGGCAGGCAGAATTCACTGTCAAATCTGGCTGCAGCCGCTGAATTGTCAACTCCCCTTGGTAAATATTTAGAAAATGTCACAGCATGTTTCCCTTTGTTGCTGTGCTTATTTCTTAATTCGCAGCCAAGCAATCCAAGTTCTGCCATTTTCAGCCAGCCTTAGCTGAATATCAAACCACCAGGGGATCCCCAGCCTTACAGCTCACACAGTTTTAGAGGTGGTCATAGACAGAAAATGCTTCCTCAGTGGAGATTGCTGGCTAGTTTATGACATTCCCAAACCACCTTTCATTTTTCTCTTTCCTTCTCCTGGGGGCAGGAAATCTTACAAAGCCGGCATCTTCCTACCTCTGTGAGGCCTTCTCAGGCTTTGCTATCATGTTTAATTTCTACACCGTACCTGTGCAGAGCTGGACAAGGGTATAATTACAAGGGCAGTTAAAACCCATATATCATGTTCCCAATGGGGGCAAAAGTGGGGCTTCCTTTCTTCCTTTCATGTGAATGCTGTAAATTTAGCAAATGAAAGGTACAGAGCTAGAAAAGAAAAAAGACTTTGCATTGGACTAGGCTCAGATCATCCAGGATAGTTATGAAAAGAATAACAGGGCACCTTGGCAGCTAAAGAACAATAATTGCTTTGAATTATAGTCAATCCAGGAGTTTCCAACATCGTGAAGAAGAACAGAAACTTGAATAATCCTGAAAATGGATAAGTTGAAAATCATTTCCATTTGTATTAGGGTGTGCCTCATTTGAGAATTCATAGCAATTCCAATAAAACAAAGTGCACTTTAAAGATATAACTTATGAGGCCTGGAGAGAGGTCCCTAGCTTCATTCTGTCCCTCTGCTTAGTTCCGGCCTGTTTCCAGAAGCCCCTAGGAGTGGTCAGTCAGTGGCATCTTCCAGCATATTTCCTCAGGAGTAGAAAAGTAAGAGAAGCCCCTTCCTAATAGTGC